CTTCATATTTTTTCTCTCAAAATGCACACTTCCAATCACTTTTTTAAGGATGATCACATAGACACATGCTGATGTGGGGATAATGGCCTTTATTTTCATTGGAGTCCCATATTTTTACAGAATCAAAACAGCCTGGCCATGGAAGGATAACTGATCTGAGAGTTGGAATAACTGAGTTCTGATCCTAGTTGTTCCCAAACTCAGAAATGAGATTTTTTAACCTACTAGATCTTAGTACTCTCTTTGCAAAATCAAGAGTGCTAAACTAGAAAATATTTAATCCTTTTTGGATCAACATTGCTTAGTCCCTGATCCTGGTAAATGCACTAATGGAGAGAGGGAAAAGCTGAAATCAGAAGAGATATCACCACTGAACCCCCTCAGGAGAACTGTTTTCTGCAACAGAGTCCTTACAGGATGTCGTAGGTAGCTATGAGGTTTGTACGAGGAGCAAAACAGAGAGGTAGGCACTAATGAAGAATACAGAAAGAGAAAATTTTGTTTTCCCAGAGACTTAAAAGTCATATGTGAGCCTGAGCCCTTCTTCTCTTGGCATAAAATGTCCAGAGCCCCTCCCCTGGACATCAGAGCTACTGAAGAGTTTTAGGCATAAAGTCTGTGGGCAATATCTTGTGACACATGATGTCACCATGGCAAAGGCAATCCCCTTTATTTTTGGAGTAGTTTGCCAAATAGTGCCTCTTACAAAAGGCTAATTGTTATATTCATGTTTTAGACAACTCTCTACTTCCATCTGTGTGTGTCACATTCTTTTGGACATGTAGGGCACTTTTGGGCAAATGAGGAAATTTTGGGGAATAGGGAAATTTTGACTTTTAGGCAAATTGAATCTTCTGAGGTATGTTGATCATCCATAGAAAAATATCTTTTATAAATATTCTCTGGAGAAAATATTAATCAAAAACATTTATTGAGCACATAAAGTCTGTCAAGGACTGAGCTCACTGCTTTTCCTGGATTATTTAATTTTATGTTTAAACAGCCCTATTTTAAAGATAAAGATACTGAAGTATAAGAACATTAAGTCATTTGCCCCAGTCACAGCACATTGATTGTTGTTGTGGCTAGGTGCCGTCAAGTCAGCTCCAACTCATAGTGACCCCATGTACAACAGAATGAAACACTGCCTGATTCTGTGCCAGCCTCACAATACTTGCTATAGCTGAGCCCATCATTGCAGCCACTGTGTCAATCCATCTCAGTGAGGGCCTTCACCTTCTTCATTGATGCTCCACTTTAACAAGCATGATATCCTTCCCCAGGGAATAGCTTTTAAGACAACGTGACCAAAGTAGGTCAAATGATATCTGGCCATTCTCACTTCCAAGGAGCTTTCTGGCTGCACTTTCTCCAGGGTACATTTGTAAGTTCTTTTGGCAGTCCATGGTACTTTCAGCATTCTTAGTCAACACCATAACTCAAAAGCATCAACTCTTCTTTGATCTTTCTTACTCATTGTCCAGCTCTCACGTGCATATGAGGTGATCGAAAATACATGGCTTGGGTTAGGTGCATCTTAGTCTTCAAAGAGACGTCTTTGCTCTTCAGTACTTTAAAGAGGTCTTTTGCAACAGATTTTCTCAGTGTGATAGATCGTCTGATGTCTGGACTGCTGCTTCTACTGGTGTTGATTGTGGAACCACGTAATATGAAATCTTTGACAATTTCAATCTTTTCTCCATTTATTGTGATGCTACTTATTGGCCCAGTTGTGAGGATTTTTGTTTTCTTTATGTTGAGATGTAATCCATACTGCAGACTGTAGTCTTTAATCTTCATCAGTAAGTGCTCCAAGTCATCCTCACTTTTAGCAAACAAAGTTGTGTCATCTGCATATTGGAGGTTGTTAATGGGTCTTCCTCCAATCCTCATGCCATGTTCTTCTTCATAAAGTCAAGATTCTTGGATTATTTGCTTAGCATACAGATTAAATAAGTCTGGTGAAAGGCTACAACCCTGATGCACTCCCTTCTTGGTTTCAAACCATGCAGTATATGTACAGGTTACTCATGAGTACAATCAAGTGTTCTGGGATTCTGATTCTTTTCAATGTTATCCATAATTTATTATGATCCATGCAATCAAATGCTTTTTCATAGTTAATAAAACACAAGTAAACATCTTTCTGGTATTTGATGCTTTCAGCCAAGATCCACCTGACATCAGCAATGATATTCCTCGTTCCATGTCCTCTTCTGAATCCAGCTTGCATTTCTGGAAGTTCTCTGTCAATATCCCGCTGCAACTGTTTTTGAAATATCTTCAGCAAGATTTTACTTGTGTGCGATATTAATGACATTGTTCAATAATTTCCATATTCTGTGGGTTCACCTTTCTTTGGAATGGGTACAAATATGGATCTCTTCCAGTCAATTGGCCAGGTAGCTGTCTTCCAAATTTCTTGGCATAGACAACTGAGTGCCTCCAGTGTGGCATCTGTTTGTTGAAACATCTCGATGGGTATTCCATCAATTCCTGGTTGTAGAACCAGGAATTAAACCAATAGTCTGAATTTAGCAGCCCCCCCCCCAAAAAAAAAACCAACTCACTGCCATCAAGTCAATTCCAACTCATAGTGACACTTCCTTGGGTTTCTGAGGTGGTATCTCTACGGAAATAGATTGGCCAGTCTTCTGAGGAGTGGCTGATGGATTTGAGCTACCACCCTTCTGGTTAACAGTCAAATGTCTTAAGCACTATGCCACCACCAGAGCTGTTACTGTAGCACCAGAGTACCATTAGCATCTGAAGTTTTGAGCTCTTATCTTTGTCCTAAGAAGAGAAATCAAAACTGTTACCCCTTTATCTTCCACTATGAAAGGAGTTCTGGTAGTGTAGTGCCTAAGGCACTTGACTGCTCACCAGAAGGTTGGCGGTTCAAACCCACCAACCACTCCTCAGAAGGAAGATGGGGCAATCTACTTCCGTAGTGTTACTGCCTCGGAAACCCAAGGAGGGGTCGCTATGAGTCGGTCCGACTCCACGGCACCTAACAACAACAACAACATGAAAGAGAAGTATTAACCCTTGATTTGCTCTCAATTGTCCTTTGTGTGGATGCATTTATAAATTTTAGCATCACTCATTTATTCAATAGTGGATTGTAGAAGAGCTTTGTTATTTTAAAGTTTGGGGATGATTCTACAGGGGAGGATTTAAAGTTACATTTAAAGAAGGTAGAAGGACACATAGTTGTAAGCAACTGTCCTCTTCCCTGAGATTAGAATGTTTGGGGTTTTTGTTAGACCACAGGCACACACACACAATTACCCAGGTGAATTGTTAAAAAGCAAATGGTTAAAAATTAAGTGCTCAAACTGTCAATTTATCTGAAACTATGAATTGGCTGTGAAAGAGCAGCATTTCTGTCACTGATTTTACCTGGTGCTGTCACCAGATAGATGACCAGTATTTTACATTTCAGCCATTTATCAGGACTGGGGCAAATTTGAAGTAGTGATTCTTAGATAAGCTTGTGATGATTTTGAAGACTTATGTGGAATTTATAACATCTTATTTTTAGAATTTTTGTTTTTAATGTCCAATTTAGTAGGTTATGTTTTCTTTGCTTGGTAGGTAGTATATATTGTATTCAATTTTTCAATTTTGTCTCTGACTCTAAATGAATTATCCAAAAGTGTGTGGACTCAAAAATCAATGTTTCCAATATTAGTTGCTTTTTGATAAATAACTGTATACCCTAAGGTGGTTTATATGATGTTTTACTGCATTTTAAGGAGATTTACCTTACCAGTCTCTTTCCAATACTTTTTTAAAGAAGTGAAATATCCTCTTTGGTTTCTCCATGTTTATATCATTTTTCAATTGACCATATATTTTGTGTTTATATTTAAGTGATTCCTCCAAGAAGAAAATTATGATATGTAGGGATGAATTATTATTTATATTTCTGTGAATTGTATTAATATTTTAACAGAATATAAATATCTGAGAAAGTTTTTTTTCCCCCCCTCATAATTTGGAGTATTATCAAACCATCCACAATCTTTGAAGAAATGTATAATTATACTAATTTCATTAGTTTGACTATTTACTGTTTGCCAAAAGATAATGGGCATTATTATCAACTAATGACTAGAGATTTTCAAATTTTTCAAAACTAATGACTAGAGATTTTTAATGTCTGTCATTTCCATTAATTTTTAAAAATTATTTGTCCACATAGATTCCTGAAACCATATTGTTTACTACCATCAATGAGACAGTGACCACAGTTCAAACTACCTGTGGATTTCAGAGAAATTCTATGGTTCAGCTACATAATGAAGATGATGATGAGGACAACAAAAACATTAATATTTATTCTGAGTAACTGTGGGTTAAGCGCTAACAGCTTTACTTTTATTATCTCATAGCAATTGCCCAATGATGTATGACAGTTCTGTCTCCCAAGTTACAGATGAAGAAATGGAAACTTTTGTGGGATTACCCAAGGTCATTTATGTCTCAAGTGGTCAGTCGCGTTCCAACCTGGGTCTGCCTGCCTTTGCAGTTCAAGCTGGTAACCACCATACACAGGATCTCTCTACTACACAATGAAGGGCTCTCCTGAATCATGAGTTATTTGTTTGCACCAATCTTCAGGTAACCAGGCTTCAAAGCTGATGGACACCTTTTATTTAAGAACCATTCGGGGACTGTGTATTTTAAAAATAGATGCTTCCCTTTCTTATATGTACTAGCATCATTACCATCTTCTGCTTCTTTGTAGTTCTACGGAACAAACTTAAACAGAAAGCACCCCTTTATTTTTGTATACTTAAACAAAATTATGATATACTCTGATGTGAAACAGGAGATACTCTGATGTGAAACAGGAGATACTGTCATTTTATTTGAGCCTCTTTAGATAAGTCCAAGTAGCAGATGGATTTCATGCATTTTCACTTCATGGGAGGAAAGGACAGATTTCCATGACTCTGTGATGAATCTAATGATAAAATCTACATAGTCAGATCTATATTTTGTTAATATTTTTATTGCTATGTGCTCCCAATACAACAAACAGCATCAGTAGTGTACACTTTGATAAAAAAGAATTTTTAGCTTAGTAGAAAAGAAAGCTCAAAAGTCAAAAGAATAATGAATATGTACATCTTTATGGGAGGGGTGTGTGTGTGTGAACATCTTTCTTTACACTTAGTTTCCTGTGGTATGCACACGCAAGCAAACTAGAGAGAATTTTATTCTGGGAAAATTTTGAGAGAAAAGATCATTTCTATTTGAGGCTCAGGGATTGTCTAACTATCAGTAATTATCCAAATTCACTTGATCTTCAAAAGTCTTGCACAAAGTAGCAGCGATTCTTTAGAGGTATAGAGTCAATAGGTTAGTTTACAATGGTTAAAAGTCCTCATACATTTTGTGCTTTCAGGAGTGAACAGACCTGCATTTTAGTTTGCATAATATACTGTTAACAGTTCAAGCATTGACCTCAAATATATTATGCTGACAACACTTCTCTTTCTTCTTATTTAAGTGTAATTCATGAAGTACTCATCTCTTGCACATATATTTAAAAAGGTTTCTAATTCATTATTTCATTAAACAGCAAGCTGAGTCCACACTATTATATATTTCCTTGAAGGGGAACAAGTTATCAACTTTTTCTCAACTACAATCAAAATGAAAAATATTTGCATAACAGTACATTTGCTTAATTTTAGCTCCTTGATTTGGTTGCTGTTGTTTGCTTAAACTTTTCCTCTTTGAACAAAACAAAGCATGCATCTGTAAATATGTCTCTCTAGTTTACCAAAATAGGTCATTGATATTAGTGTAAATATTTAGTACATAAAAATACTATCCAAAAAAAATCAACTTTTAATAAATATCTTCAGGTCTGAATCCTATATACAAATACTTTACATCCACTCCCTGGAGAGAGTATTTCTGGCTTCACTGTGAGCACGGTGATCACTGGCATATAAATTACTAGCACATTATTGCAGTCAGATGCATTGTGGTTGTGAACATCTGGATATGAACCATGCGGAAAATAAATATCTCAACTTTTGGCAAATGCTTTCTTGAACCTGCTTCCAAAGTCCAAAGCCCTACTCTACTAGAGTGCCAATTCTAGTTGGATGATGCTTTCTCAGCTACTAACATACAAACAAGTTATCTCCAAACATTTTTTTTCCTTGCGATTACTACAGTGTATTGTTTATAACTGTTAATATGTCAGCAAAGGGAAAATACAAATCTACATAAGAACATAGGACTCCTCAGTGGTACCTACCACTGAGGCTCTGATAACAGTTTCATTTCTGTCATGTACAGTCTTATTACTATCTTCTGTTTCCTGTGGCTACACATATACTAAGACATCAATCCTACCACACCTCATTTAAAGAGTAGACAGCAATAGGTAAGCTGAAATCTATACATCTGTAGCTTATCTGTTTTGTTTCCATCTAATTTAGGTATCACATTGTTGACTCAACAATACCATACAATAACACCCTTTGTATTGTCAGTAGCTGTAATTTTAACTTCTTTGCAATATTCTGCTTTGAAAATCAACTCATAGAATATCAAATAAGGCAATACTTAACGACAGGCACCTAGAACATCCAGAAATGTAATATAGTAAACAATCATTTGAGACCACATCTCTTAAAATAATACTGATTTCTGCAATATACAGTATTTACACAACAGCTGCAAATTTGCTCGTACAATATTTCTAATATAGATAAATAAGAATACAAGTCTAAGGATTCTTTGCTCCCTTTCCAAAATATTTTGTAAAAGTGTAAACGATTGGCACCTCTTTTTAAATTTTACCATAACTTTTTTAAAACAAAAAATCAGCTGATATGCACAATTGGTTCCAGTCCCTTTTCTGCTTTAGAAAGTGACCAACACACTTAGCAACTTATTTTCCTTCCATTAATAATCTTTGGTGCTTTCTTCCAATGAATTCTGGTTAATGAGTCAATGTAGAACAAAAGGAGGATGAAAGTAACTAGAAAGTGAACCAGCACTTTTTTGTTCTTTCACTTACAGATAAATGAATTGTCAATCTACGGAGACTTCCACTTTACACAAGCTGTATGCACCATGGGGAGAGGGAGGTTGTCCAAGTTTTCCTCTGATTTATTTTAAGTTCACTTTCTCATCTTTCTAACATGGATGACTTTATGGGATGTCTCTTGTCAATAATCTTTTCATTTTTCTTTGAGGTTCTTGCCTGAGAAGAAGCACCTATTGAATCATTGACTGCAAGGAAGGGAGCAGCAGTCATTTGTGAAGATGAATTGAGGTGGCCACTCTTGGTGGATGGGGAGGATGGTACTGAGACCATTCTCATTGTCTTACTTCCTGTTTGCTGAGCTCTCCTCTGGGGTAAATTAGCACCATCAGGTTTACCGTTTGGCCTGAAAGCAGCATATGCATTTGGACCTTGCACTGCAGAGATCCTACTCAAAGATGTCTTCTTCTCAGCAGGGGTCTCTGAATGGTAAGGAACCAAAGATGTTGGCATCACTAGAGACCTAGGGAGGTCACTAGGGTTAAAGATAGCATCATCTTGAGTTTCAGCAGCTTCTGGAAGATATGATGGTGGCAGGGTGCTACTGCGCTTGCTACATGACTCACAACATAACTTATTATAACCTGGTATGGAACAATATCGTGCCAGCACCTCCATTTGACAAAATATCGATTTGTCCCCCAAGCATGGTTCATCTGAAAAAAAGTAAACAAAATAATATAGTTTATTATAAAGTAATAAAAGGAAGCAAATAAAATTGTTATCAGAGATAAAAAGACTTAAGTGTAATCTGACAGTAATTAGAACTGTGCACTTAAGCCTTTGTGTTAAAAATGTGAATATTAGGACAAATTGATTGATGTAAGCAGTTTTTTATGTACAAAAGACTTGAGTTGACTACCATACTAATGTCTCCATTAGGAATCTTCAGACTACTGAGGGTACTTTTTTTCTTCCTAGTAGGAATACATGTCAGATTTTAATGGACAAAAATAGGATTCATTTTACCATAAACATTCTTAGGATACAAAGGGACTTCTGTGTTTGTTTTATGATGTTCTTCACTTTCAAATCGAGTAGCCTCCACATTAAATTTATAGTTTAAATCAAAACAAGATACTAAAGACCTGTTAGAACAAAATAAATCTTAAAAAATATATTAGTAAAAGAAAAATAAAGATATCATTTTAAATATAATAATTTAATGTTTGTCATTGAATATTTTCAGGCTATTTGAAAGCATAAATTTAGGGAAAGAGTGCCAACTTTATTATGAGTAATTCATGGTTCTTAAAACTTAAATTTATTTTCATTGAATTGATGCAGCTTTATTTTTAAAGGTGACCAAAGTAAGACTCAAAAAACACTTGATATATTTTAAGGGATTATTTGTGCATGGTTGTGTGTAAAAACATGCACAATCTTTATTTTTTTAAAAGTTTATTGGTTGAAGGTTATAGGAACTAGATTTCAAAAACTCCAAATATTGAGCTCATGGCAATGATGTTGGTTTATGCTTATTTTCAGCCTTTTCAGGATATCCTTCACATAATAAATCCAAATTTGGGCATCACTGGAGTTGTACACCACAGAAATACTAACCTGATGTTTAATTAATCAATTAAATGGATAAATTATGACATTTATATAATATAATCACTTAAAAATTATAATGTACTGTAATTTTTAATTGTCAGATAAGGCACTCACTAAGTAACTTCCCAAGTTAATTACAGAATCTTTTTTTCTAAAATTTGTAATGAAAACAAAAATAGGAGAATCAGTTGCCAAGGAAAATAGAGTGCTATAATCACAAACTTTCCAACTTTGTTAGAATTGTCACACCATGTCTTCTTTCCAAATGGTAGAATGACTCATTTCCTTGAGATCTATGCAACTATTATAGTATGATGCCTTTCAATATTTCACATTGGCTAAGTTAACCATCTAAACCATCTTTATGAATGGCTGAAAATCACTTTAATTGGTTTCACCTCAAATAGCAATTCCTTATCATTTATGAGGGGGAGCTCTGGTAGCATAGTGGCTAAGACACTTGCCTGCTAACCAGACGGCTGGTGGTTCAAACCCACCAGCCACTCCTCGGAAGGAAGGTTGGGCAATCCTACTTCCGTAGTGATACTGCCTCGGAAACCCAAGGAGGGGTTGCTATGAGTCGGGTTTGACTCAACGGCACATAACAACAACAACAACATCATTTATGAATTCCTTTGTGTATGGCTCTATTTTGGGAACTCTGGTGGCATAGTACCTAAGGCACTTGACTGCTAACCAGAAGGTTGGTGGTTCAAACCCACCAGCCACTCCTCGGAAGGAAGGTTGGGCGATCTACTTTCGCAGTGATACTGCCTCAGAAACCAAAGGAGGGGTCGCTATGAGTCAGACACAACTCAATGGCACATAACAACAACATGCCTCTATTTTAAGAAAGTTACTTCTTATTTGTTTAAGTCTCTTAAGTCATAGAATGAGAGGACCTTATTTGACACTCTTCAGAAGGAAAGTCCTTCTGACTTCTTATCCCCCTCACTCCAAACTGCCCAGTTCATAAACGTGACCTATACTTTTTGAGTTAGAGGATGTGCCCACATGAGAGACTCCAGTATCTAAGTGTGAGCACAGTGGCTTTGCGAGGAAGGTTCACACACTGAACCTGATTACAGCCAAATTGGGCTTCTGTGTGGAGGAGGCAAAGGGAGACGTATTTGAAAAAATATAAGCAAGATGAAAGGAATACACTGATTTTTATAGTAATATGCCTATGGATAAAATAGACAAGGCTCAAAGGAAAACAGTTAATTAGTACAATCAAAAGGGGCAATGAAATGGAGTCATATAACAAAATCAGTCACTACAATCAAAGATATTTTTAGCCTGTTGCTCCACCTCTGTTGTTGTTGTTATGTGCTGTCGAGTCGGCCCTGACTCATAGCGACCCCTCCTTGGGTTTCCGAAGCAGTATCACTATGGAAGTAGGATTGCCCAACCTTCCTTCCGAGGAGTGGCTGGTGGGTTTGAACCGCCATCTTTCTGGTGAGCAGTCAAGTGCCTTAGGCACTATGCTACCAGAGCTCCTACTCTCGATCATTATAAAAAGTTTTGGGAAAGGGTTTCACACATGGTCTCAAAAGGCCATTTGACACTGAATTTACATTAATGGTGGTGGGATAATTAGAAAAAGATAAGACTAAAAAAAGTATGCAGTATGAAGAACGTAATCAACATCATTGACTTATGTATGCAAAACGAATTGGCAATTGTTTTGTTGGGTATAGTAAAGAAACAAAAATGAAAGGCTATTTGACTGTAACAGCATTTGAAATTCTGGTAAGATATATTGCTTACTTGATTGAAATATGGAAAATGCATGTGACTTTTAGAACTCTCAGTTGTGCATTTGATTCAAAAGTTCAGAGGAACAGAGTAGCAAAAATAAATATGGGGAATTACTAGCATAGTTCTGTCCATCTCATTAGCATCTCTGTTTTACAATAAAAAACATTTTCTTTGGGCTAAAGGAGAATCAAGCAAAAAGTTTTTGACAATTAGGTACATTTGCTGAGATATATAGTTCTACCAGCTACTAAGATTGATAAAGCTTACGTTGTTTACCCTCCTAGCAATAAAATAGAATAGAACATTATAGTGACAGTAAACTGTCCTTTTGTTTGGACTTGACTTGTATTTTAAACTTTCAAATACACTTTTTAAAGTGAAGTTCTCAAATATGTAAGTGCTTTGTCTCCCTCTCATGGTCATACTTGTTCTTGCCATCACACATTTCAAGTGAAAACTTAGAAACCTTAGTTTATAAGGTTTTAAAAGCCCGAACTCTAAAAATTTTTTACAAAGAAAATATTTGCTAAAATAGTGCCTTGACAATAGTCTTGAGAGCAAAGAAAAAGTATCATTTAACAGTTGTCAATATTCAATCAATGGCTTACTTATGATTTTGTAGGCTAAAGAAAAAGCAAATAATTTATTTAGTCCTCAAGTCATACTAGTGAGGCAAAGCAATGTCTATAGTTGTCATTAGGCATGAAATTAGGATAAAAGAGAATAGTGTTTAAGTGAAAGTTTGTGGTGCAGGTAGAGGTAGGGGGAAGGTAAGAAAAGGGTGGCAGGAAAAGCATGAGACACAATGACAAAGTGACAGACAAATTAGGGACAGAGATGGAGGAGTGAGAGACTGAGAAGAAAAGACAGTGTGGGGGAAGAGAAAGAGAGAGAGAGAAAAAGACAGAGACAGACCCAGTGAGTGAAACACAGAGACAGAGGAGTAGAGACAGGGGACTGGTGGAGGGGGGCGGGGAGGATGGAGAGACAAAATTTGACACAGAGAGAGAAAAAGAAAGAAAAGCAGGGAGAAAAAGGGGATATATATAGAGAGAGATGGAACACTGAGAGAGTTGAGTGGGGGAAAAACAGACAGACAGAAATGCATTGTAGAGAGAGAAGGAAGAAAGATGTTAAGAAGAAAGAGGGAGATAGAGAAAGAGGAGAAAGTGTGGGAATAGAGAGAGTCAAAGACAGACAAAGATTGGAGGGGGAAAAAAAATGAGAGAGCAAGAGAAGGAACGAGACTGGGGACAGACAAAGGGAGAGAGAGGAAGAACAAGAGAGTGAAGCCAAGAAAGTATGTGTGATGACACAGAGAAATAGAGCAACATACAAACAGCAAATGGCAGCAAACCAGAGATGGAAGATCATCACTGAGAACGGGACACTAACAGACGCAAAAAGAGCAACTAACAGAAGAGGAATCAGAAGGAGATGAAATGACAGAGAATGAAACCATCCGAGATACTGTATTCATTTAGAATTGCAAATCAATTGATATTTTAAAACAAATGCATTCCCCTTTTGAAATATAGCAAGAAGTGTGCTGAGGCAGTTATTGAATTTGGGCATATGTACAATGTGTCTATTTGAAAATCACGCTCCTAAAGTGCACATGTATGAATGAACAGATACTGGAAATGGCATTAGAGTTGGGATGACATTTATTATCCATATGTTTAAACTGAATAATTTTAGTAAAATGTCACAAAACCTCCTGCAATTGTATGACTTTTACTATGCTGTTGAGTTATATCCAAAGAGTATAATGGGGGGGGGATGTAACTCTCAGAAGAAATAAAAATTGACAGAAGCTACATAGACAAGACCCACTCCGTATTCTAGCATTATCTAACAGGAATAGCAGATGGAGCTGCAGTGGTCATGATAATTAGCTGGTTTAGGACGCTGCCACTGGTACTATCTTGAAGAATGATGTGAAGCTAATATTAAAGGATTTTATCCTTCAGTTATTTCTCAATAAGCTAATTCAAACTCCAGATCTTATCCTGAAAAATGAAAAAAAAACAAAATCTACTTTTTGAAGTTTTTAAAAAAACTTCTCAGAACACTTAAGTCAATCAGTGTCACACTTACCATTGCAAGAAGGCAGCTGACAGGCTCTGACTGATTCAGGCTTTTCCCCATCACACTGGTCTCCAGCCCTGCAGATGACCTGCCTCACTTCTGTTCCTTCCCCGCAGGTTACCGAACACTACAGAAACAAAGGCTGTAATTATAGACTATAGATTACAGATGGTAGTTTATTACACCAAGATCATCTGTCTTCCTTTCCCTTTGTGTGTGCATGTGCATGCATTCTCTCTCTCTTCACACACACACACACATACACACAGCACTGGATATGGTTGCTGCACAGTGGTTGTGGAGACAGATAATCCTGGCTTTGCACCCTTACTCCACCATTTACCAGTCTCGCATAATGCTTCCCCCCCCCATCAGTCTCAGTTTCCTCATCCGGAGAACTATTGGTTTAGGTGCCACTAAGTTGGTTCAACTCACAGCAATCCTATGTACAACAGAATGATACACTACCCCATCCTGTGTTATCCTCACAATCATTGCTATTTTTGAGCCCATTGTTGAAGTCACTGTGTCAGTTCATCCTGTTAAAGGTCTTGCTCTTTTTCCTGACCCTTAATTTTATCAAGCATGGTATCATTCTCCAGGGACCCACTCCATCTTAATACCATGCCCAAAGCACAAAACACAAAGTCTTGCTCTCCTCCCTTCAAAGGACCATTTTGGGTATACTTCTTTCAAGACAGATTTGTTCATTCTTCTAAGACTCTATAGTACATTCAGTATTCTTCTGCAATATCATAATTCAAATACATCCAATCTTCCTCAGTCTTCCTTATTCACTGTCCAGCTTTCTCATATATATGACATGACTGAAAATACTATGGTTTAGATCAGGCTCATCTTAGTGCTTAAAGTTACATCTTTGCTTTAGAACACTTTAAAGAGGTCATTTGCAGCAGATTTGCCCAATGTAATGCATTGTTTCATTTCCTGACTACTGTTTCCATGGTCATAGTGGATATAAGTAAAGTGAAGCCAAATAATGTCAGAATCAACTGGAAAGCACTTAACAACAACAACACAGTTCTTAAAAACAGTTGTCACACCTATTTTGGGGGAGCCAATCACCCTGGCACCTTCCTTATAGATAGAAGAATTTACTGACATACTACCTTGGTTTCAAACTCTTGGGAACTACTGTCACCGTAAATTCATCTATTTAATCAAAGTCTTCATGCTTTAAAATTGTTGCTATTGTTAGGTGCTGTCAAGTTGACTCCAACTCTTAGCAACCTTATGTACAACAGAACAAAACACTGCCTGGTCCTGTGCTAGCCTCACAATCCTTACTATACTGAGGCCATTGTTTTAGCCATTGTGTCAATCCATCTCATTGACAGCCTTCTCCTTTTTCACTGATCCTCCACTTTACTGAGCATGATATCCTTCTCCAGAGAATGGCCTCTTCTGACAACATGATCAAAGCAGGTAAGACAAAATCTGGCCATTCTCACTTCCCAAGGAGCATTCCGGCTACACTTCTTCCAGGACAGACTTGTTAATTCTTTTGGCAGTCCATGGTACTTTCAGTATTCTTTGCCAACACCACAAATGAAAAGCATCAACTTTTCTTTGGTCTTCCTTATTCATTGGTCAATTTTCACACGCATATGAGGTGATTGAAAATACCATGGCTAAGCCGGGTTATACTTTAAAATTAAGCCCAGAAAATTCCATGTTATTGTCCTAGGTAAGAAGTATACATGGGGGCATTCATTTCAGGACTCTAAGGAGGAATGAGATACATTATCTTTATGGTCCTATTAAGGGACCTTCAAGTGCCTGAACCTTCCTTCCTGGGCTTTTACTTCCTTCACTTCCTCAGTCCTTCTCTAACTTCTCTTTGATGCCCTTTCCTCCTATAAATGTTCTATGACTCAATGATTCCTTATTTTGAATGTTGAGAAATGCAAAATAAATATTAAAATAATGGACAAATATTACATAATTTAATGAATAAAGTCAATATAAATGAATATATATATACACACACACTGGCAACATAATCCATTCAATTAGCCAGTCCCTAAACCAATATCATCCATTCAAGTACCATATTTTTGACAAATATGTGGACTAGTGGTAAGCACAGACTAAAAGACAGGAGTTACAATACTCTGCCATCAACACCACACTAGAGTTGGGTGGAATTGCCTTTGGTGTACAGAGGAAGAACTATAGGAAAGACACCACTGTGATCATGGTATGTGGATTGTAGAGATGAGCCATGTTGGGACAGTCTGAAATTGCTAGAAAGGAGGAGGTGGGAACATCAAGCCAGGTGAAAACCAGTATGGTGTGTGGAAGAGGGAGGAAGTTATGGAAACTTGAACAAAGAGTGGGGAGTGTAAAAAGAATAAGAGAAATGGGCAGGGCCCTGCATTCAGTGTCGGCTGTTTGGACTTTATCCTGTAGGAATGGATGTGTCAACAAAGATGCTAGAATGGAGGTCAGTCACCTTTCAGCCTCCATGTCACAAAAACACCCAAATATGTTTGCCCCTATCAATTAACCTCTTAAATGCAAATACTATTTGGAAATACTAATTTTTCCTAACAGTGCTAGGTGCTTAATGATTACAAAATGAAATACAATTGTGAATTCAAAGAAAGCCTACCTGATGTTTAAGTCAAAATCAAATATGCCACTTGCACTTGTGTATACACATACACAGAATTCACACACCCACCTCATTCCAGGGCCCTGTTTTCCACTGGGCTGGGCAGGGCACTCTGTTACAAGGCCGGCGGCTCTCAGGGCGATCTCCCATACAATACTTGCTGTGCACGGAGCGGTTGGTGCCATCATGAAGGGGCTGCAGGCAGCGCACAGTGCGAAGCTGATAGCCAGAACTCCCACAGGTTTTGGTGCAGTGTTCCCACTCTTCTGCTACCCAGCTGTGGGTACAGGGGGTTGAGAATGAACACAGTCACTAGGATATATAGTGTGTACATTCCTGCCAGCACAGCCATTTCTGTTCTGTGAATGATACGCAATTTTGGGGCACACTGCAGTTCAGGAAGCAGTTTCAGAAAGATGGAAGCATCAAACAATTAAAAGGTCAAACAATCAAAGCATCAAACAACTAGAAGCTTCCCCACAATCATAGACCTGACACTTCTATTTTTAATGCTCTATTGATATTCCACCTCCCAATGACTCTTAAGGCTTTTTCTTTTCTAAAAGATGACCTTCAGAGTGATTTCTGAAACTCATTGTCACACTATCCTCTTTGGTTCAGGCAAAAATAGCATCAATCACTCTTACCGTATTGCCTAATAGTGCTAAGTAAACATGTAAAGGTAAATCAAAGAATGAATCCATTTGGTTAAAATCAACTGAGAGAGCTCTGGTAGTGTAGTGTCTAAGGCACTTGACTGCTAACCAGAAGGCTGGTGGTTCAAACCCACTAGCCACTCCTCAGAAGGAAGGTTAGGCAATCTACTTCTGTAGTGATACTGCCTCGGAAACCCAAGGGGGATTGACTATGGGTTGGGTCCAACTCAAAGGCACATAACAGCAACAGCAACAACAAAATCAACTGCTTTGACTGCTGATGTTTTTTCATGAAATCTACAACGTTTACTCACATCTTGATATTTCAACAGTTTCATTTTTACTGTTTCTGCTGTGTAGGCTACAAAACATATCTATACTGTTTGAAAAAGATCTTACTGATCATGTACCTGACTTAGGGGTAAAGGTTTTATGCATCTGGAGCTGGGCCAAAACTTCTTCCATAATTGCACCCGATGGAAGTATTTCCAAGGAGACATTTTCAATAAAAGCTTTCCCATGGGGCATTCCCAAATTCTAGTGTCACTATCAGTGCCCTGAGCATTCTCTAAATCAGCCATGGATTCAATATTATGGACAGATCTCCTTTTACATGTGGTTATTCAGTCCCAAAGGGCACTTACCACTGACCTAGTTAATTGATTGGTCTGGAACGTAATTGAGGCATACTGTCTGTTTGTCCTTTCCAAAGTTATTTTTCTTCTATAATTTCTTTCCTCTCATATGGGGTACCAAACCTTTGGTCAGTCTTTGGTATTCACAGTTAAAACTGCCCCAAGTTGTCAAACTGGTAATAGAATGTATTGTGGAAAACGAACTAGAATATTTTACTCATTTTTGAAGACTTCACTAGTGGCTCTCATTTGAAGACAAATAGTATATGAGAAGTACATTTGAGGTTATAGACACTTCTGTTTATTTTTATTCCTTGCTGGAACCCCCAAGCTGGAAATAAAGGAGGAAAACTGTATAAACTCACAAATGCTAAGAAAATTAGAGAGGAAGCCACAACAACATAATCTTGGAACCAAGAAAGCAGAAGGATATTTGGCAACTGATTAAGCAGACCCATAAAGGATGGAGTCTATGTCTATGGCATAAGCTGATAACCAAAGTGACTTGCACTGCAGAACTTCAGAAATGTCCAGGGATGTGTGGGTGAAGACAAGGCGGAAACAGGGTGAGTGATACAAGGTCTGTTTGGGAGCAGTTAGACCTCCTGATTCTTAACGATACTAGATGGTTGCATCTCCTTCAGCTCAGGAGAATACTTGTGCTTTATCCTCTATAAAAGGTATACTAGAATTTTACATAGGCAACAAGAGAGAAGAGATCATAGTGGAAATAAGAGGGTACTGTGGATTGAATTGTGTCCTCTAAAAAGATATGTTGAAGCCCGAAACCTTGCATCAGTAAATACAACCTTGTTTAGGGAAACTGAGTATCTCTTTGAAGACAGTATCACTAAAGCATACTGTGCAGGTCATATTCCCAATTCCTTCTCAGTGGTGTCTTCTTAAAGGAGAGAATAGAAATGGAGTCTTTGTCACACAGGGGCAAGGTACCATGTGATGATACATACATCTATAAGCCAAGGCATGCCAAGAGATGCCTAGAGCTACCAGGAGCTGAAAGAGACAATGAAGGTCTTACTCTAGAGTGGACAGAGAGAGCATGGTCCTACTGACAATCTGAATTTATACTCTTAGCTTCCAAATCTGTGAGGCAATTAATTTCTGTGTTTTAAAGGCACCTATTTTGTGGTATTGTGTTAAGGCATTCTAAGAAAACTAAAACAGGGGGCTATGTACAAGTTCACGTATGGAATGGTGAGATGCACTTAGTTATCTATAACATACAGTTTCTGGGAGAACTATAAAGCAGGCTTACATTCTGTAAGCAAGAGCTTGATTCTGCTCTATGGAATCTGAACATATTCATTAGAATCCTAGCTACACTACTGAGGTTATTTTAGTGAAATGGCCAAGACAGATCACTCAGACACTGAAGCCCATCAGTTAACAAGTCCCAAGCAGAATGCATGCTTCCAATCAGCTTTCTAAATACCACATTCGTGTACATGTGTAGATAGCCAAGGACCACCAGATAGAGAAAGCATCTAATGCAAGAGATAAAGGAGAGGAGAAAGAGAAGAAAAGATTTTTTTTAAAAAAATTAATGTATGAAACAGGAAATAATCTTAAATATCCAAAAGGGGTTGAAGGAAAATATTACATCTATGAAATAAGGATCAAATGGCTTGAAAAAGAATTATTGGGGAACAAAACAAAGCTCTTAGATATTAAACATATGATAGCAAAAATGAAAATTCAGCAAGAACATTAAACAGTAGGAGAAGAGAAGAAAATCAGATGTGTTTAGGGAGCACAATTATAGGAGTTTCAAAAATAAAGAACATGAAAATAATTATAAAAAAAAAAGAATAAGGAAAATTTCTTGGGCAAGAAAGGTATCAGTTTTGAGATTAAAAAGGTCTATAAAGTACAAAGCACAATGGATCCCAAGGCATGAGCATCACGGCATATCTCTGTGAAATTTCAGGATACAGAACACAAAGTGAACATCTTACAACCTTTGAAGATAAACAAAAGAACAAAACCACTTTTTCAACACAAACATTGGAGGGTAGAAAACAATGGAACAACACCTTCAAAAATCTAAGAGAAAATAATGTTGAACTTTATACATATGAGTAAGTCTAGATTTATCTACATCTAAAGTTGTGAGAAGATATCAAAGAAAGATGATTAAAAAGTTTGAAAGAGGTGAGGGGAAGATGGC